CCACATAATAAGATTATTTCATGAGGATTAAATCTGATGAAAGCATTAACCATGTTATGTATACCAGAGAGAGTGGGTTATTGGGTCACATCCCCTTTTGTATTAACCCCATCTATTCACCCTTCCACTGTATATAATTAAGTAGATATAGCAATGTTTTGGAAATTTCAAATGAAATCTATAAGATTGTTCACCTGTCCTATTTTCCTTTCTTAGGTAGTGTCTTAAAGCACGAGAATCAAGGGATCCTTAACTACTACATTCCCAGGAAGGACAATAGCTGGGGAAAGGTGATGGTAGAAGCCATGCCCTTCTAACATTATATGTTAAGAGAGCACTAATGATGGGGAATATTTGGGATTCAGGCATGTCTAATGGAAACCTGGCATTGTGACAGGAGCAGTTCCTTTAGGTTACTTTTCAGACACCCCTAGAGTTTAATTGCTTTAATTTCTGCCCCTAAATCTCATTATCAGTCCATGTCCATCAAGAGAATGGGAACAGAGAACTCAGTTTCTCCTCTCAGTTTCTCAATTATCTGTTTCTTTTACTTTCCCATCTCCTCCTTCTGTGCCTTTTGTCCTCCAACATAAACACGACAGGGATTGGGGGAAGTGGAGAAGAGGCCTGTCTGAGTTGGAGGCTGAAGGGGAGATTGCAATAGTAACTGCATTTTTGTTGTTGTTAAAGGTGTTTGGCATTTTGGAGAAAGCTAAAGAGCAATTTGATTTAGAAGACTATTCCATCAGTCAGATAACACTTGAACAAGTCTTCCTGACCTTTGCTGACCCAGATAAAACAGTAGAAGATCATAAAAAACAGCTTCCATGATATTCAGCTGCCAACAGTGACCCTTATATCTTTCATAGACTACAACTGGATGCATAGAGGGACATTCCTGTGTGTGTATATTTTGGTGTAAATATATTTATGCAATAAAGATTTCCCCAAAGGAGAAAGTTTGTCTCCTTCTTTTAAGATTTAGATTGGCAGGTAAATCCAGCATGTGCAAATCTAAAGACATTTGGTGAAATCCCTGTTTCCTAAAGATATGAAAGAACAGCATTCAGGGTGGGGACAAGGACCTGTTTCTGAGGATTGTGAATGTTTAAACAGAAATGTCCTGAAATGATGGTGCTGTCAGATGGGACAGCCCAAAGAACAAGAGCTTTATGTTTTAGTAGCTGAGTTATAGATAAGAAGAGCATAAATCCTAGAAGAGCAAATCAGCTTTCCCATGGATACACACATGCACACACACATGGACATGCACGTACAGAGATATACACACACATCCACACATAAGTACACACACATACACACAGACACACCAATTTTATACTAAAATGTCTAAAATTAATATCAAAGTTTAAAGGATCAGTTGGGTTATTATTTCCAATATTTTATTAATACCTATGAGAATCTTTTGAAGTCCAAGAACAGAAAGCAAAAACATTCTTTAAACATAGTGTTTTATTTCCTACTCTTGGCCCACCACTAATTAAGAAGGAAATAAGAAGAAATGAATGCAGAGGGAAGGAGACAGAGAGCTCTCATAATTCTTGTTTGGGCAGATGGAGTCCCCCAGAAGCAACATGAGAAATCCGGATTCACGGACAGATGTACAGACAAGTAGGATGGGCCTCATTGAACTGCAGAATGAAAAAAGCCCATGAAGCCCCTCTATTTTGGGGTGTCTTGTTAAAGGTTTTGATATCCCCAATTGGATAATGTAATAAATAAAGCGATACTTAGAAGTTATTCTCTGTTCTGTTACTTTTAGCTGTAGTATAACTTTCCGAGGATTCCATTCCCATACTTGCCATAGATCTCCAGCAACTGATTTCAGTAATTACAAAATTTATTTCCAAGGTTGGCCCTCTATAAAAAGCGAAAAGGAACTCATTTTATTAAGCTCTGATTTGCATGTAGTTCTGAGTCCACGTGTCTTAAGCTGTGCTTCCAGTTTTCCCAGGAGTGCGTTTATACAGGTCTCCCAGTTGGCTTCATTAACGACCCTCTCTAAAATTACTTTACTCTGCCCTTCCTTATCCTTCATCCCTCCTCCCTCCTCTTCATCTCCCAGCAAGAAACAAAAAATATTATATGTCAGGTCTTCTACTAACCACTCTTTGTGCAGTGCATCATTTAATCCTACTACAAGTCTCTGAGGTAGGTAGGTGCCGCTATTATTTTCATTGTCCATGGCAAGCTCAGAGGGGTTGAAAGATTTGGCTAAGGTCACCCAGTAAGTTAGCAGACATATCAGTCAGTATCCTCATCAGGAAACAGGAAAATACACAGCACTTTGAACAGGGAAAGTTTAAATAATTATTAACTATCACAAGGAATTATCCATAAGGAGGTAAAGAGAACTCTGAAGAATGAATACCCTACCCCAGTGGCTGGGATTCAGATCTTCTTGGAGAAGGTGAAGTTGTAGCCTCCTTGATGACAGGGAAGTTCATCAGCCCTGGGCCAGCCCTTGCACAGCTGCTGAACAAGTGAGAATATTCCTTAGGGATTAAGCCGCCTAGGCTGGCCAATAGGGAGATGTCCTCGGGTCTGGTAAGCAGGAAACCCTTCTGTAGGGTTGCTGGCAGGCTGGTGCTAAGAAGCAGACAGCTAGGGCACCTGATGTCCCCCACGTCTGCTGGCAGCCCCAAAAGTAACAGCCAGAAAAATCAAAGAGAAAACAGCTTAACTAGAAAGAGAAGCTTTTCAATTTGATCGGGTCCCATATATTTATTTTTGTTGCTACTCCGATTGCTTTGGGGGTCTTCTTCATAAATTCTTTGCCTAGGCTGATATCTAGAAGAGTTTTACCAACATTTTCTTCTAGAGTTCTTAAGATTTCATGCCTTAGGTTTAAGTCTGTTATCCATTGTGAGGTGATTTTTGTGGAAAGTGTGGATCCAGTTTCAATCTTCTGCATGTGGTTATCCAATTTTCCCAGCACCATTTAGTGAGTAGAGATTCTTTTCCCCAGTGCATATTTTTGTCTGCTTTGTGAAAGATTAGACGACAATATGAGGATGGTTTTATATCTGGGTTCTCAATCCTGTTCCAAAGGTTTATATCTCTGTTTTTGTGCCAGTACCATGCTGTTTTGGTTGCTATACGAGGTCTTCTCTGGTTCCATACGAAGCGCAGAATTATTTTTTTCTAGATCTGCAAAGAGTGATGATGGTATTTTGATAGGGATTGCATTAATTCTGTAGATCACTTTAGGTAGTATGGACATTTTAACAATATTGATCCTGCCAATCCATGAGCAGGGTGGGGTTTTCCATATGTTTACATCTTCTACAATTTCTTTTCTCAGAGTTTCATAGTTCTCCCTATATAGGTCTCTCACCTCCTTAGTTAAATATATCTCTAAATATTTAAATTTTTTTGAAGCTATTGTGAAAGGTGTTGTGTTTTTGATTTGACTTTCGGCTTGACTATTATTGGCATATATGAATGCCACTGGTTTGTGTGCATTGATTTTGTATCCTGAGACTTTACTGAATTCATTTATCAATTCCAGGAGTCTCTTGGTTGAATCCTTGGAATTTTCTAGATATAATATCATATCGTCAGCAAAGAGTGAGAGTTGAAAAGCTTCTGCACAGCCAAGGAAGCTTATCATTAGAGCGAATAAACAACCTATAGAATGGGAGAAAATATTTGCATGCTACACATCCGATAAAGGGCTGATAACTATGATCTATAAAGAACTCAAGCAAATCAGCAAGGAGAAATCAAACAACCCCATTAAAAAGTGGGCAAAGGACATGAACAGAAACTTTTCAAAAGAAGACAGAATAATGGCCAGCAAGCATATAAAAAAGTGCTCCACATCTCTAAAGATCAGGGAAATACAAATCAACACCACAATGAGATATCACCTAACTCTAGTGAGAATGGCTTTTATCAAAAAGTCCCAAAACAACAAATGTTGGCATGGATGCAGAGAGATCGGAACACTCTTACATTGCTGGTGGGACTGCAAATTAGTACAATCCCTGTGGAAAGTAATTTGGAGATATCTCAAACATTAAAAATAGAAATACCATTTGATCCCGTAATCCCAATACTAGGCATCTGTGGAAAGGAAAAAAAGACATTTTACAATAAAGACATCTACACTCGAATGTTTATGGCAGCACAATTCACAATTGCAAAGATGTGGAAACAACCCAAATGCCCATCAATACTTGAGTGGATTAATAAAATGTAGTATATATACCATGGAATACTACTCAACCATAAAAAACGATGGTGAACTATATTAACTTAGGTGGAGCTGGAGCCCATCCTTCGAAGTGAAGTATCGCAAGAATGGAAAAACAAGCACTACATGTACTCGCCACCAAATTGGTATTAACTGATCAACACTTAGGTGCTCACCTAAGTGAGCACCTAAGTATATTCATCAGGTGTCGGCGGGTGGTGGGGGTGGGCTAACTCACCACTAATGAGTGTGGAGCAGTGTGTGGGGGATGGGCACTCTTGCAGCTCTGGCTTGGGTGAGGCAAAGGCATTATATGTAACCAAAATGTTTGTACCCCCATAATATTCTGGAATTTTTAAAATTTAATTAATTAATTGGCGGAAAAACACTAGAAAGAGAAGCCCTTGTCCTGCAGTGTTCCTCCAGCGCCCTCTCCTGGCAAAGCTTAACCTCATGTCAGTTCAAGACTCCAGCTCTGGCGCTGAGAGTCGCTTCATACCTGGCACAGCAGGGGATAGTGAATTTGCCCTCTTGATATAATCATCAGAACCTGTGATTCTAACCATTAAACTACTCTCGACGGTGAGTATCGAGGTGGCGTCGGCCAAGAGGAGCAAGCATCATAGGATTGGGGGAAGCATAAGAAATACACGGAGGTGGAGTCAACCGAGGGGCGGGTGAGGGCAGCGAGGGCAGATGAAGTTGCTGGGGTGTCCCACGCGCGAACGCGGCGAGGCTGGGCAGGGGGGCGGTGCAGACTGGGAAAAGGGACGCGAGGACAGTGCACGGTGCGCTGGGTTTGCCCCAGCGTGGAGGCCTTTGGATGTCCCTCATGAGAGGTTTGCAAGACCCTGTGCCTCTGGAAGTTCTCTGCTAAACCCCAATAGACTCAGGAGCGGAGAAGCTTAAGACTCTTCTTAAACTTCCTGCAATCCGAAGTCTGGGGGCACTGAGGGTGACCATGACACATAAGGGCCCTCGAGAGGTGGGCCCGCAGGCGAAAAACCTGAGTAGCGCCTTAAAGGGCGCCCAGGTGAGGCTCTTTCCGGCACTTGGTGCGTAGGGCAGGGCGCGTGGGATGGGGGGTGCGGCCCCGCCCCCGATGGGGTCACGGGCGAAAGGTCCCGTGCGTTGAAGGGGAAGGCGGTAAGAAGTGGCGCGTGCCGGGTGAAGCTGCGAGCAGGTGGGAGCGCTGGGGATGCGGGCAGGGGGTGAAACACGCTGGTGCCTAGCGCTCGGGGCGCGCGCGCTGGGGAAGGACTGAGACGGCGCCTCGGGCTCCCCTCCGACTCCCCGCGCGCTGCCGGCTCCCGGGTCTGCGCGAGGCCGAGGCCGCAACCCCGCCTGGGGCGGCTGCGCTGGAGGCGGTTGGGGGCCGTTGGAAGGAGGCGCCGCGCCGGGCTGGACGCGCGCCCCTGAGCGGCGGAGGCGGTGGCAGTTGCCAGGTCTGAGCGGTGAGTGTTCGTCCCTCCCGGCCTTTCCTCCTGCTGCCCGGGTCTCCCTGCTCTGGCCGCTGCTCCCTGACGGCCCAAGAGGCCACCCCGCTGCCCGCAGTCAGCGCGCAGGGCCCGAAAGTGCGCCCCTCCCACAACAGACCCACAGCCAGAGCACC